CATCAAAAGGCAAAAACAAGAGAACAGAGAGAGGCAGAAGTAATACCCAGGCTTAGTGAAGCTGTTAAACATGGCATCAGTGTGATGGAAAATGCATTTGTTACTCTTGAGCTTACAACAGAACGTAAGTAGACAGTACACTATTTGGTTTGTCAACGTATAAAATATTTTAGTTCTATGAGACCTTTCTCACATCCAAGGAACCAACCTTGGCTGACAAACCAAGCCATGCCCTCAATGTATTCATTGCTTGTGCTTATTGAAATAGAATACAGCGTCACCTAGAGAACAAGTCCTTTATTATTTCTATGAATAGCAGTTGATGGTTCCTTAATCATCTGGATAATTTATGGTTAAAATTCTTGAGTTTAGCGAGTTTTGAGCAATGTTTTATTTCAAGCAGAATTGTCAGTTACACCCTTTTGCACCAGGCCCTTAATATTAAACTGCGCAACTATAAAAATTCCTGTGAAAATTTCTTGCTACATGCAGGTTATGTGACCTCAAAACATTTTATGAGAACACATGCAGCTGGGGGGTTAATTCCAGCAATGTAAGATTTAGTTTGATGCAATTTAAGTTAGTTTACCATGAGGAGCAAACATTAATTATTAGTAGCATATTAGGGCCATTTATACGAGGAAAAATAAGACGCGTCTTAAATAAGACGCGAACTGTACCATTTATACGAGCATGTCTTATCTAATAAGACGCGTCTTAGCTAAGCCGCGTCTTATTTTAGACGAAATGTGCCGTTTATACGGAAAGTTCACGTCTTATTTAAGACGCGTCTTATGTAAGACGCGTCTTATTTTTCCTGGTATAAATGGCCCTATTATTGCAGAATGGGCATTTGGTATTATTTAGTGTGGGCCATTTTTGTTCAAAAAAGGTGGTACTTTGTGTTCTGTCCTACAGACTCAGATGACGAAGAGGAGGAAGATGAAGATATCAAGACAGGATTCAAGCCTCAAGTTATTTTGGAACCAAAGGTGGATCTTGACTAGCAATAATGAAAAATTGAGCAAGTTTAAGTTTAATTTTTATTTGTCTCAAACTCATTTTCATTCACTGCGTATACTGTGCTAAATGCCGAACCATAACCATTAATTAAACTCATCACCAATAGATGAGCTTGGGCGTTGGTGCCTTCAAAGTTGGTGGAGCCGGGCAATGCTCTAGCGTGAGGAGGAGGTATCCATGGCAACCCTGCGAGCGGCCCCCACCAGGCAGCGTCACACTGAACAATTCAGTGGAATACTTACCGACCCAATACTTACCTAGCCCACACTAAGAGGGAGGAAGGGATGGGAAAAACCAAAGCACAAACTGGCACACAAACAGCAAGCAATTGCAACAACACTTTGCGAAGAACTGCAAGTAAGCAACTGCGTATATAAGTCACGAGGTGCCCCGCTAGAGACATCGGGCCATCCCTAATATAGCTGGGGAAACAGCTGACCAGCATTGCTTCGAGGTTAACTTTGCCTAAATTACATTTAGCCACATTAATAATAATAATAATAATAATAATAATAAATTATCAATGCTTTGACACAGAATTCTGTTTGATAGCATCAGCGAAAACAATTTATGTTGTGGTTGGTTTGAATTCCTTTAAACCAGTTTAAATTTTTCAAACTTTTTAGAAATTTTTAAAACCATCACATTTACGTGCGCAAGTGTTTGAAGTCTCAATGCTTTTCTACTTTTAAGGATGTCTATGGAAATCGGCCATTACCTCATCTGATTGGCACGTCAGATTTCTTCAGGGATGAGCTTGTTGGACTGGGAGAGTCATCTGGAGAAGGTACCACAATAAATTGATATAGATAGTTTGTTTGTTTTTTTTTTTATGTACAGTTGAATGCAGTTTAACAGAGTTAATAACAAGGAATGTTAGTCTTATCTTGCTGGCTATCCGTATTGCCAGATGTACATGCATCAGGATCCCATGTGCTCTTGTAGTTGTGTGCATTTTAGCATGTTCAGGTGCATTTTAGCTTTCTGGCATTTTGGTGTTTTTGGGCAGTTTTAGTAGAGCATTTATTCAGCCTAGGCATTTCGCAATCGTGGAGACTCAGTTCATAGTGGTTTCCCACCCCCTCCCTTCCCTCTTTCCACTGTCTTGCTCATTGTGGTGGGTGCCTGCTTTCTTCCCTTTCGTGTGGTGGCTCATGGCTGCATTGCCAGGATTTGCTACCCATGGGAGCAGTCTCCTTCTAGGGTCTGCCAGGCTGCCAATAGTGAAAGCTCCTGGATGTCTCAGGCACCAAACTTACACTTCTCAAGTAATTATTTTTTTAAAGCTAGAAACTAATATTATTTAACTTGTTTGCCAGTGGTTCTTTATGTTTCTCAATTGATTTCTGTCAACTTTAATTTTCGTTTGTTTTAAATTAACAGAAGATGAGGGAGAGGAAGAGGAAGGAGAATCCAGTGAAAATGAAAGTGAAAGTGAATCATCAGCATCTTCCAAAAGCAGTGAATCAGAGAGTGAGGCAAGTTAAAATTAGTAGAGTAAAAACCTACAAGGAAGAACCTGGTTTTAAAGAACCTTTTAGGCTAAAATTTGCCAGTTAGAACCCATTTTATACAAGAACCTCTTTAAGCCTAAAATTTGAAACAGGTTCCTATTTTCTTCAATCTTTTAAAAAAATTCAGGAAAATGCAGGGTCTAAATAGTATTAAACAAACAATCTGTCAAAGAGTTTTCATTTAAATAGTAGCATCAGAGGATTTTGTCCACAGATTATGAAGGTAGAGTGATAAGTAATCTTGCCATAACTTTCAGTAGTGGCTAGTCTGGTTTACATGAAAATTTCATAGATCATCATATTTATTAGCCTGAGAAAACAGCCAACTTATCATGGTGCCACAACTGCTTCCTCAAGAAATTACGTGTGAGGAAGGAGCAAAGAAATTCCATACTGATGACATGTTACTACCCAAATCCACATAGTGCTTCTGATTGGTTGAAAATCTACTTCATCCAGTCAGAAGCACTAACCAGATCTGGGTGTTGTTTCATCACCAATAGACAGATTTAGCAAAGGCAATGCAACGGCTATGACGACGGCACGTGCAGATCAAAAGACCGGTTTGACCAATGCAGAGAGGTAAATTGGGCACTAGGAGTTGTACTAAGTCCTTTACGCGTTCTATTCCGTCTTCAAATGATGTTCCCTTTCTGTTGCTAAATCTCTGTAGTATGGAATTTTCTGGGCTTGTTTCTCAGACATCATTTTGTAAGGACAACAGTGGTGGCAGCATGAAATGTTAGCTGTTTCCTCAGGCTGCATTTTTATAAGTTTAAATTTTATTCATACAGAGCTCTGAAGAGGGCAGCGGTGAATCAGAGACAGAAACGCCTAAGGAAACGGAGAAAAAACAAAAACAAAAGGCAAAGGTATGTCACCATTAATATAGCTTTATTTAGGTGCAGTCTCTGAATAATAGGTGCATAGAGTGGAAGACAAAAAGAAATTGATTATTTTATTTGAACAGAAGATTGAGTCAGAAGATGAGGATGAAGACGATTTATTTGGAGAGAAAAAGAAGCTGTCAGAATCAGAGGATGACGAAGAAGAAGAAGAGGAGAAAAAGGAACAGCCTAAAACGGTGAGCGTTATAACTGTGGAGTAAACNTTGTAAGGACAACAGTGGTGGCAGCATGAAATGTTAGCTGTTTCCTCAGGCTGCATTTTTATAAGTTTAAATTTTATTCATACAGAGCTCTGAAGAGGGCAGCGGTGAATCAGAGACAGAAACGCCTAAGGAAACGGAGAAAAAACAAAAACAAAAGGCAAAGGTATGTCACCATTAATATAGCTTTATTTAGGTGCAGTCTCTGAATAATAGGTGCATAGAGTGGAAGACAAAAAGAAATTGATTATTTTATTTGAACAGAAGATTGAGTCAGAAGATGAGGATGAAGACGATTTATTTGGAGAGAAAAAGAAGCTGTCAGAATCAGAGGATGACGAAGAAGAAGAAGAGGAGAAAAAGGAACAGCCTAAAACGGTGAGCGTTATAACTGTGGAGTAAACAGTAACCTTGTGAAAACAGACAGGTACCTTATTGCCTCTTAATTTCTTTAAAAAAATTGTGAAATTAAAGACTCATGATTAAAAATCCTCAGGAATTTAAAAATGCAAAATTTAATACCCATATAGTAAATTCAATCACAGGAAAAATGATTAATGTGTAAGTTAACAAGAACATGTATGAGAGTTAATAAAATGTTCTCAAAGGGAAAATGCTTTGATCCTTACGCAAATTCTCTCAACAGTTCTTTGAGAAAATATATGCAGATAAAGCTAGAGAATTTGTATTTGGATACTGGGGCGTAAAGAGTTAAAGCATAATGGTCTATTATTGTGGTTTGGGCATGTATCAAGATAAGCAGGGCTTGCCAAGACAATTTTACAAGGAACAGTGCAAGGTGGGAGAAGAAGGGGCCAACAAAAGAAGCGTTGGGAGAATGACAGGGTTGAAGTTTTGTGACACCCTAAGAGAATCTAAAAACAAAATCTAATGGAGCAAAAGGGCTGCAAGGTCTGTAACACCCCAACAGTCACCATGACTACAGGATAGGTGCAAGGTGCAATAGGCATATAATGGGTCTTTCTGGAATGTAATAATCCAGGTTTTTGAAATCACTGTTATACTACCTGTAATAGTTTATGGTACAGAAACTACCTGCAATCAAGGACACTCAACTTGGGTCACACTGCCCTGGTACCTGCCTTTCTCTCTTCCAATGTTGTTTTGTAAAGGTTTTTCGGAGGAATTGTCCAATTTCTTGGCCAACATTGAAAGGGAGAAGGAAAAGGATGTCAAGCACAACATCTCAATGTTATTCCTTCAATTTACCCAAGTTCTAATGTCACTTATTGTTGTGATGGTTTGGTTACGTGGAGAAAATGAGATGTGCTTATGACTTTTCCTTGCACTCAAGAAGTTTAACCCAAGGAAAATTAAGTGTGTAACTAAAATTGATGTTAACGATTTACTTCTTGTGTCTTCAGCCCAAGGGTGGTTTAGACTTTGCTGCAGAGCTTGCGGCCAAAATTGGTGTTGCGCCCCCCAAGCGACAAGATAGTGAAGATGAAGATGATGAGGAAAAACCGGCTGATGGTGAATGGAGTGATGAAGAACATCAAATACCACAGACTGCTGTAGACCAGGAAAAAGAGCGCAGTGAATCAAAAAGGAGCCGTGGTGACAGCAAAACAAAAGAGAAAAAATCTCATCATCATCATCATCACCATCACAAGAAAGATAGGTCTGAATCACATGGAGAATACAAGCACAGGAAAAGGCGTGAAAGTAAGACAAGTCACAGTAGTGTGGACACACGGCAGTCTGTTCCTGCTGAAGATGGTGAGAATTGTCCATAATAATAATGATAATGATAATGATAATAGAAACAATAAGTCCTTTATATACCCTTGGCAGTATTTGTAGCACTAATGCTAGAGGGGCCGAGCAAATACCTGAAACAAATAATTTAAATCGAACTTAATAGGGTTAAGAATCCCAACTGGCCAAAGACTATTCAGCTGGCTATGTATGAGCATGGTCTAGGATTTGAACTCTGAAGTACTATGTACAAATTCAGTAAATGACTATGGTCAGGGCAAAAGTTGAAAGAATGCAGGGCCTCTTAATGGCCAAGCTCTAACTGCTCAGTCATGCTGCCTCCTTCTTCTCAGACCGGTACATGTATACAGATAATTAGGGCAAGGAGACCAAGGAAATTGAAGATTACTTCAACCTAGGCTTAAAACTTTTAACCTGAATGTACAGTCGACTCCCGATAATTTGAACCTTCAAGGGAAAGAGAAAATAGTTGGAGTTACCGGGAGTTCGAGTTATCAAGGGTAAAAGTATACAGAAAGTGATCTGAAGGGAAATGTAAATTACTTTGAGTTAGCTGGAGGTTCGAGTTACAGAGGGTTCAAGTTACCGGGATTCGACTGTATTATATGACTACAATAGTACACACACTCTGATTGGCTGTTTTCTTATAATGACTGGGCATTACTAACTTGATGTCCAAGGCATATACAATCTGTGTTAAACCTTGATAGAGGATATCCTTATGGGCATCCATGTTATTGTCAATTGACAGCTGTCAAAAAGGGCATCTGTTGACCAGTTGTTGGTTTTAATTGATCACAGGCTCAGGTCCATAATGAAAAAGCCATATAGTAAATAACTTATTAACCTCATCCATTGGTCATTACAGAAAAAATCTCAGACTGAGGCCTTGCTGTATTGACTGAGCAATAGCGATATTCTGCAAAGGTGGAATATGGAAAATGTATTATTACTGTCTGGTTACATAATGGCTCTTCAAAAAATATATTCACAAACTTATTTGAAAAATGCTGTAGAGATGAGCTTTGCTTGATAAGCTTGTTCTGTAGCATTTTTTCTTTTTGTGTGTGAAGAAAATTGTTCTTTTGTTTGAGCCACCTAGATTAGGAAATAACTTTATCATTACTCTAGCATTCTCTCTCTCTAAGCACCCCCTCCTCCCCTCCCCTCCACCACCACACCCACCAAAACATCTTGTGGTTGTGGAAAGATGGTGGCCATTTGAGCCATACGAGGTGTCATGATTGCATCCTAAGGAGAGCCTCTGCACCTCTATTTTAGATCTGTTTGGTCAGTCAAGCCCTCAAGAAGATGGACTGTTTGGAAGTGAGGGCACTCCATTCAGACAGAAGGGAGGTCTTTTCAGTGGAGGAGGGAATCTGTTTGATGATGTAGAAGGGGAAAAGGTATGTGTTGAAATTGAGAGGGTTGATGAAGCGATACTTGCAGCTGCTCAATTTCTCAAACCATAAGAAGTTATCGGCTCTTAAATTTCTTCCAATTACAGTTGAACTTTGATATAACGAAGTTCTATATAATGAAGTCCTTGGTTTAACAAATGATTTTCTTTACCCCAGTAATAATAAAATACAGTCGAACCTCCATGTGCGACCACCTCTTGTAAGCAACCACCTCCCATAAGCGACTGCCAATCCAAAACACCAAAAGTTTCCCAGCCAAAGCCTTAAAGTTGGAACCTCTAGTAGACGACCACCTCCTGTAAGCAACCACGACTTTATTTAGGTGCAGTCTCTGAATAATAGGTGCATAGAGTGGAAGACAAAAAGAAATTGATTATTTTATTTGAACAGAAGATTGAGTCAGAAGATGAGGATGAAGACGATTTATTTGGAGAGAAAAAGAAACTGTCAGAATCAGAGGATGACGAAGAAGAAGAAGAGGAGAAAAAGGAACAGCCTAAAACGGTGAGCGTTATAACTGTGGAGTAAACCTTGTGAAAACAGACAGGTACCTTATTGCTTCTTAATTTCTTTAAAAAAAATTGTGAAATTAAAGACTCATGATTAAAAATCCTCAGGAATTTAAACATGCAAAATTTAATACCCATATAGTAAATTCAATCACAGGAAAAATGATTAATGTGTACTAGTTAACAAGAACATGTATGAGAGTTAATCAAATGTTCTCAAAGGGAAAATGCTTTGATCCTTACGCAAATTCTCGCAACAGTTCTTTGAGAAAATATATGCAGATAAAGCTAGAGAATTTGTATTTGGATACTGGGGTGTAAAGAGTTAAAGCATAATGGTCTATTATTGGGGTTTGGGCATGTATTAAGATAAGGGCTTGCCAAGACAATTTTACAAGGAACAGTGCAAGGTGGGAGTCGCTGAAGAAGGGGCCAACAAAAGAGGTGTTTGGAGAATCTGAAAACAAAATCTAATGGAGGGAAAGGGTTGCAAGGTCTGTAGCACCCCAACAGTCACCATGACTACAGGATAGGTGCAAGGTGCAATAGGCATATAATGGGTCTTTCTGGAATGTAATAATCCAGGTTTTTGAAATCACTGTTATACTACATGTAATAGTTTATGGTACAGAAACTTCCTGCAATCAAGGACACTCAACTTGGGTCACACTGCTCTGATACCTGCCTTTCTCTCTTCCAATGTTGTTTTGTAAAGATTTTTGGGAGGAATTGTTCAATTTCTTGGCCAACATTGAAAGGGAGAAGGAAAAGGATGTCAAGCACAACATCTCAATGTTATTCCTTCAATTTACCCAAGTTCTAATGTCACTTATTGTTGTGATGGTTTGGTTACGTTGGAAAATGAGATGAGCTTGTGACTTTTCCTTGCACTCAAGAAGTTTAACCCAGGGAAAATTCAGTGTGTCACTGAAATTGATGTTAAAGATTTACTTCTTGTGTCTTCAGCCCAAGGGTGGTTTAGACTTTGCTGCAGAGCTTGCGGCCAAAATTGGTGTTGCACCTCCCAAGCGACAAGATAGTGAAGATGAAGATGATGAGGAAAAACCGGCTGATGGTGAATGGAGTGATGAAGAACATCAAATACCACAGACTGCTGTAGACCAGGAAAAAGAGCGCAGTGAATTAAAAAGGAGCCGTGGTGACAGCAAAACAAAAGAGAAAAAATCTCATCATCATCATCATCACCATCACAAGAAAGATAGGTCTGAATCACATGGAGAACACAAGCACAGGAAAAGGCGTGAAAGTAAGACAAGTCACAGTAGTGTGGACACACGGCAGTCTGTTCCTGCTGAAGATGGTGAGAATTGTCCATAATGATAATGATAATGACAACAGAAATAATAAGTCCTTTAATTTATTTACCCTTAGCAGTATTTGTAGCACTAGTGCTAGTGGGGCTGTGCAAATACCTGAAACAAATGAGTTAAATCAAACTTATTAGGGCTGAGAATCCCAACTTGCCAAAGGCTACTCAGCTGGCTAAGTATGAGCATGGTTGAGGATTTGAACTCCAGAGTACTATGTAAAAATTCAGTAAATGACTATGGTCAGGGCAGGAGTTGAATGCGTGGCCTCTTAATGGCCAAGCTGTAACTGCTCAGTCATGCTGCCGCCTTCTCCTCATACTGGTACATGTATACAGAAAATTGGGGTTAGGAGACCAAGGAAATTGATGGTTATTTCAACCTAGGTTGAAAACTTTTAACCTGAATGTATTATATGGCTACAATAGTACACACACTCTGATTGGCTGTTTTCTTATAATGACTGGGCATTACTAGCTTGATGTCTAAGGCATATACAATCTGTGTTAAACTTGATAGTGGACATCCTTATGGAGATCCATGTTATGGTCAATTGACAGCTGTCAAAAAGGGTATCTGCTGAACAGTTGTTGGTTTTAATTGATCGCAGGCTCAGGTCCATAATGAAGAAGCCATAAAATAAATAACTTATTAACCGTTCGGTCATTACAGGAAAATCTCAGACTGAGTCCTTGCTGTATTGACCGAGCAATAGCGGTATTCTGCAAAGGTGGAATATGGAAAATGTATTATTACAGTCCGGTTACCCAGCTGTTTACACAATGGCTCTTTAAAAAATAAAGTCACAAACTTATTTTAAAATGCTGTAGAGATGAGCTTTGCTTGATAAGCTTGTTCTGTAGCATTTTTTCTTTTTGTGTGTGTAGGAAATTGTTCTTTTGTTTGAGCCACCTAAATGAGGAAATTAATTTATCATTACTCCAGCCTTCTCTTTCTCGAAGCACCTCCCTCCCCTCCCACCACACCCACCAAAACATCTTGTGGTTGTGGAAAGATGGTCATTTGAGCCATACTAGGTGTGATGATTACATCCTAAGGAGAGCCTCTGCACCTCTATTTTAGATCTGTTTGGTCAGTCAAGCCCTCAAGAAGATGGACTGTTTGGAAGTGAGGGCACTCCATTCAGACAGAAGGGAGGGCTTTTCAGTGGAGGAGGGAATCTGTTTGATGATGTAGAAGGGGAAAAGGTATGTGTTGAAATTGAGAGGATTGATGAAGCGATACTTGCAGCTGCTCAATTTCTCAAACCATAAGAAGTTATTGGCTCTTAAATTTCTTCCAATTACAGTTGAACTTTGATATAACAAAGTTCTATATAATGAAGTCCTTGGTTTAACAAATGATTTTCTTTACCCCAGTAATAATAAAATGTGCGACCATGTGCGACCACCTCTTGTAAGCAACCACCTCCCATAAGCGACTGCCAATCCAAAACACCAAAAGTTTCCCAGCCAAAGCCTTAAAGTTGGAACCTCTAGTAGACGACCACCTCCTGTAAGCAACCACGGCCACTTTTTGGGCCTGACAGTTAATGATTTTCCATTGTTTTTAACCTCTTGTAAGCGACCACTTGACGCGTTTTCTGGTCTCTATTTTCGCTGTGTGCGCTATGTTACTCAGAGTATACAAAGAACTTTAGAGACAACATGGAACTACACATAAAGGAACTTAGACATTGCTTGCAATAAATTATCCTCCATAAAGTAGATTTGCCTGGACCTCTTGTCGGAAGAGACCCCTTGTGGTTTGATTCTTGTAAACAACCACCCCCCGTAAGCGACGACTCAGTCTTTGCATTTTGGGTGGTCGCTTACGGGAGGTTCGACTGTATTTGAAAAAGAACCTCAATTTAATGAAACCTCGTAATTGCAAACAAATTTTGCCAGCCCCTTGGCCCTTCATTATACCAAGGTTCCACTGTGCAGTGGAACCTTGATATAACAAACCTCTATATAGCAAAGTCTGTGGTGTAACAAATGATTTCCTTTGGCCGATTAATATGAACATTTATGAAAAACAACCTCCATGCAATGGAACCTTATCATAGGGAACAAATTTTTCCAGTCCCCTGGCCCTTTGTTATATTAAGGTTCCACTGTAAATGGCTACCTTCACCAAATGAGGAAAAGTGCGAAAAATAGGAAATAAGAGAAAAATTTTAAATATTTTGTAACAATCTCAGAATTGATCCATAATTTTTATTAAAGTACTAAGCTTTTATGCTTTTATGCCCAGTAGAAAATGGTGCAAAAGGCTGCAGATTCTCACCATATGTTTAGTATATGCAAACGTTCTCAGCATGGTTGAGGATTGCATTACTTTCTGTCCCATTCCAAATTGCTAAAATAATGTCTGTGACTATAATATTAAGTACTTATTAAAAATGCCGTCGTCCAAGAGGAGGGCAAAACTGAGCCTTTTGAAAGCAACAGGAGAATAGAGTTTTACCATAGAGTTCAAAATAGATAAATATGAGTTTTAGCATTAAAAGAATACCTTCTTACTAAAACTAATGTAACCAAAACCTTGCTTTTTGATAAATAATCATGTATTGTGTCTGCTTTCATAGGAGGACTTGTTTGCAGAACAGAAGACTGAAGAAACAGATGAAGTGGAGAAGCCAAAAGAGGGTGTGTTCCCTTAATACCTGTAGCTCCATCAAGTTATAAATATATAGTTTGAAACTGATGGGTTTGGTGGTGAAAGTTGTTCAAAATGTAGATGCA